CCCCCGCGCGCGCACACACACACACACACACACACACACACACACACACACACACACAGAGCAGTAGCAGCTCAGCTATGCAAGCGGCACTACTGTGCATGCATGGCCTCTGCACGCGCAACACAGCAACACGGTGGGGCGCACCGATGAGCAGACAGCAGACGGCGCGACGCTCTTGAGCGCCGACACGCGGAGGGTACGCGGCTGGCGGGTGACAACAGCATCAAGAGAGATAGAGAGCCGTGGGGCCTTCGGGGATGAGGGCAGCCGGGCAGGGGTCGATGGATGCGTGCAGAAATCAGGGCGAGCTCGGAGGGGGAGGGTGGGCGGCGCCGGCCACAAGGGGCTTGCGGCGACTGAACCTTCGCAGCGGCGCCAGCGACTGGGTGGCAGCAGGCAGTTGCCAGATGATGTGCGTGGATCTGCAAACGGATCAGGGGAGTCAGGGGACTCAAAAGGGCTCGTGTGCAGGGAAACTCGAGGATGGGGCAAGCAAACGCTGATCCAACCGACGCAACTGTTGAAATCCGCCTGCGAGCTTCCCGCCGCCTTCCTGTCGCGAGGCCGGCCTCGGCGGCCAATCTGCCGTACGCAAGGTGGCAACCAACGGCGGCAGCGCGGCAGGGGCCTCGCAGGCGGATTTTGTCAGTTGCGTCGGTTGGATCAGCGTTTGCTTGCCCCATCCTCGAGTTTCCCTGCACACGAGCCCTTTGGAGTGCCCTGACTCCCCTGACCCGTTTGCAGATCCACGCACATCACCTGGCACCTGACCGCTGCCACCCAGTTGCTGGCGCCGCTGCCAAGGTTTAGTCGCCGCAAGCCCCTTGTGGCCGCGCTGCCGCCGTTGCCACCTCGCGTACAGCAGACTGGCCGCCGAGGGCAGCCTCGCGACAGGAAGCCGGCGGGAAGCTGCGCTGGAGCTTAGCGACGCATCTCCAACAGGCAAGGACGGACGGCCACCTGTCGATGCGCGCCCCAAAGAGATGTGCCAGCATGCCTGCTTGACGGTTGACTCGCAACCTCCCTGAGGTGGGCATGTGGGGCCTGCGCATCGCCTCTGATGCACTGCTGGGGGGGGGCGCATGGGTCATGCGCCTTGCCTTTGTCAATGGCTTTGGGCCGCGGGCCGCTTGTCGAGCCTGCGGCACCCTTGCCTATCGCACACGCGTCATGCCCTTGAATCGAGCAAAGGAGCACAATAGCAGCAGACTGCAGGGCTGCCCCGGACACGTGGCAAGGGGTGTGCTGCAGACGCACAGGCGGGAGGTTGGGAGGGGTTATGGCAGGCCGCCCCGTGCGCTCATGGCCCCCGCAGGAGCAGCTTGCGCCCCATCGGTGCCGCCGGAGGCAGTGCCTGCGCCTGTGCCTGCTGCTGCTGCTGCTTCTGCTGCTTCTGCTGCTTCTGCGGCTGCTGCTGCTGCCGCCCCCGCGGACCGGGCGCCGCCCCTCGCTGCATCCACCGCATCGCCTCCATCCGCGCCGCCTGCGCCGCTGCGCCATCAAAGGCTTTGTCCGACGGGTCGCAGGGCAGCGGCGCTGCAGAGACAGGTAACCCGGAGTCGTCGCCACTGCTACAGGCCGGGCAGAAAGCGGTCGGGGGCGCGCTGCACGCCAATGCGCATTTGACTGCTCGCGCTGCGCCGTGTACCGTATGGTAGCTAGAACGATGTTGATCTGATACCGATACTGTTCACAAATCAACACGACCAACTAGATTACGTATGGGACCGACGACGAGGATGAGGAGCGATCTGTTCCGGGAGTGCCTTAGGCGGCTTCAGGGGCTTCAGGTTGCCTCCCAGGGGAGACTTTCATCACTAGCGCCCAGCAGCGGCGGCTGGCTGGCCCCAGGTGCGGGCCCCTTTGGCGGCGGTGCATCGCAGGTGGCACCCCCTCGCACGGAGTATTGGGCACTCACTCACACTTGTACAACAATCCTGCTCAGGGTTCCGTGCGCGGTCAGAATCCGTAGCTTTGTATGGCAGCAGCGCCGACGAGGTGCACGAGCGGCGTCGCCGTCGCCGGTACCATCAGGCAGTTGCTGCCGCCGTCCCCGCCCCAACCGGTGCCGCTCTGCAACAGCCGCCGCTGCCACAGGCGCCCCGCGCGGCCGCCCCCAGCTCAGGGCGCGTGGTGCCGGAGGTGCCGGTTGCGGCCCAGGGCGTGCCTCAGCACGAGCAAGGGAGTGGCGCGGCAGGGCAGGCGGCGGGCGCGGACTGGCTGGGCCAGCTGCGGCAGCTGCTTGAGGAGGTGCGCGTCGGCTGGCAGCAGGGGGGAGGCGGCAGCGGCAGGCCGCCCGACCGGCCCTCGGCCGCTGCCGCTGGTGCCCCCGCTGCTGAGGCCGCGGCGGCAGGGTCGTCGGGAGCGTCGCCTGCAGCAACGGCGCGTGTGGCATGGGACGGCTTAGGACCCGGGGGCCCCTGGGCCCTTGAGTCCATGGTGACTTGCCAGCTGCCTCAATATTTGGCATACAGCCGCGCTGCCCGCCACGGCGTGCCCACCGCGCTCGACGCGGGCGCCACGCGCGCCGGCGCCGCCGCGCGGCGCGCGCGCGC